AAGTGAAGGACAGTACTACCGGAAATTCCTTAGATATCGTTACATTGAAAGTATATGTGAAACTTCGAGACGACGAAGAATGCAATACGAAACCATTCAATGCCGCAGAAGAAGGGAAAACTACACAACGAGTTATGGAAAAGAGTTCACGGAACAATAAACCTAAAAAAAAAGGGCAGAAAGAAGCGTTTAAATCGTCATCGAAAGCAATCAAATCATGGAAAATCGAGTGCCAACAAACATTCTCGCAGAAAACATACACACGAACATCAACGACAATCCGATAAATGAAAATATCTACACTCAAATAATTTTAGTTTTATGACATTTCGATCGATATATATTATCCCCTTCAGATTTTTTTTGCATTTGAAATAAATTTTGAGAAAAAAAAAAAAACAATTATTGGGTGCTTAGGGAATACAATAGAATTCTTTTGGCAGGGTTCGCTATGCAACGAAACTCACTATGAACGGAACTTGTTTTTCACTAACGCTGTTGGGCAGTTTACGCTTTCGTCAAAGACCAGGCAAGTGCTATCGCGCTTACAAATGTTATGATTGATTTTATATTTTGTGATCTTTTTCTGCAAAATAAATACATTTCCTATAAAATCATATTCAAAAAAGTCCTACAAATTCGAATTCGACTGAAGACATTTGTCTTGCAATATATCCCGGGTAATCATTATTACAGTATATACACAAAAGACAACAAATCACATAACGTTGCCCACATTATGGTCAGCCCATAGATAAAAGTATTCTCCTACCTCTCTGTTCGTCGTATTCTCAAAATCTTAAAATGAAATCAATTGATAGACCTTTAAATGCGCCCTGAAGTAAATTTTTGAAAACTTCACTTGATGCAAATAACTCCCTGAAATGTAGAAACTATTTTGCCCCTCATCGCCGAAGGACTATATTAATTTTGCAAAACGTCGGCAATTCCCAGCAGGAAGCATCAGAGACCCCACAAAGTGTATATATTCTTGATCAGCATCAAATTCTAAATCCGTCCGTCTGTCTGCCCGTCTGCGTAATACCTGTTGTCAACATTCGCCTGGCCACAAAAATAAAGCTATCGACTTCAAATTTGATAAAACCGTTGAAAGTCCTCGCACTCAGCTCGATATTGAAATTGGTCGATGGACATGCCTACGTTAAATGAGTACACCTCTCGTTTTTAAAAGGGATAAAAAAATGACTGTTTGCTCATTACTTATAAACCGCGGCTAAAACTAAAACTACAAAAATTTTGAACGTATATTCTATGGCCGATGTAATATCTCTAAAAAAAATGCAAAAAATCAGCCACGCCTACTCAATTTTATAGTGTGTCACAATTTCATTTTCTTTCAAAACCTTTACAGAAGCAATTTTTCAAACTTTCATCGAGTATATAAATCCTTCCAGTTTCAAATTGGGTCTGTTCGCCTGTCTGTCCACCAAACTGTCTAGTAACTTTGATAAACATTCTCCCGTTAGCGAAAATGCGGATATCACCTACAAATTTGCAAAAGAATTTGAAAATGATTGAAACTTTTCCAAACTTTTCTACAACGCCCACAGGTCTATCTGACAAAAACTTTTATTTTGAAAACAGAACAAAACAGCCACGCCCGCTCCATATTAAAGAGCATGAAAATTCATTTACTTTACTTTTCTTGTCTTTTTTTAAGATAACGATGTTGGTAATAAAAGATTCGGTTATGACCAAATATAGTTTTCTCATTTTGTTTATTTTTAACAGTTTTTATTTAAGGGCATATTCTATAGTTGTGATTGGTCCCTAAGCATAAAAGAGAACAATGTGTGTCTTCTTACTATAGTTGTTTTCGTTTTGTATCAATTTTGCAATTCCGAAGCAATAGTCATAAGAAAACACCCTGCCATAAGTTTTATTGTAAACTAACTTTGTTAAGTCTTGTAAAGCATGAAGAAAACAATGCCGTGTGACTAGTGATGCCCCTAGTGATGATGTTGTTGCTCAGCATACGGCTATTGATCTATTTTCATATGAGAATCAAATCGGTTTGTTAATCAATACATTTATAATTACATAAATACTATATATGAACGATTCAATCGAAAGCAAAAATAACTTATTAACTCATAATAATAATTAAAACGTGACGGCGTGCTATTGAATACTAGAACCATTATCAATCTATTTCGCACCTATTGTCTGATAAAGATTACAAAACTTTGCTTCTGGCATACGCATCATTATGACGAAGAGGGCTCAAAACGCAAACGAGAAGGTCCAAATCATTTTACCTTAAATTGCTATTATGATATAAGTTTCATCATGAAGCAACTTTAGTTTTCATTATATGAGAGGGAGTTCAAAAGTCACCCCAGCCGGTCCAAAGTTTTCATACCAATTTAGATTGCCAAAATAGTACTTAGCCACTTTTGCCGAGAAATTTTGAAAATTGCAATTTTTTCCCATATAATGACTTTTTAGGATAGGGGGCGACATGGTGTGTGGTCGAAAAAGTGAACCGACCCAAACCACTAGGTTTCGCCCTTTGGTCAATACACGTCAATGTACCAAATTCCATCAAAATATCGCTAGAATTGCGACGTTTAGCTTGAGCACTAGTTTACATGGACACACAACGGACGAACGGACAGTCTTCAATCAATTCAGATTGCGATAACAAATGGATGGGTTTATCCTAAACCCTTCTATATATTACATACGTCCGCATTAACTTAATATATAGTCTGTACCACAAGTGGTGTAGGGTATAAAAACTAAATTATTGAGGCAATTTATCGGGCAACGTGTGCGTTGAATTGGCCAAAAAGTATAGTATACAAAAGAGATTAGGAAAAATATTAAGGTTAATATTAAGCTTATTAAGCATTTTCGACGTGTTTTAAATGATATTAAAATATATCGCGGGATGTCAACGGCCCAGCATCAGCATCAAAATTACTCGTATGTATAATTCGCCCGTAAATATTATAGATTGCCAAGTTAAAAAGGATTTCAGAAAAGAAAGTTGTGTTTATACCTTACACCACTTGCTGTACAGGGTATATTAAGTTTGTGGGGACGTTTGTAATACTTACAAGCACTTGAGATACACTGATCTTTTGTTATACCAATCGATTCATAATGATTTTTTGAATCTATTTAAGCTTGTCCGTCCGTCGCTCCGTCTTGTTATCCTTTGTTCAATGTATAGGTCACAAGTTTGGATATATATCGATACAATTTTGTACACTGATATGTTTTGGCCCAAGAATCAATATTACTCAAAATAGTTCGAGTTGGGCCATTTTTCCGAAAAATAGTGTAATTTTCAGAATTTTACATTAAGACCGGTTAGTAATAGTTTAGTAATTTGTGGGAAAACTTAGGATCGGAAGAGGCAATTTTTGTAACCGCTTGTCATATAACCGTTCCCACGGGATCTGAAACGCCGCTCCCTTTATAATGCTCTATTCTGAAAAATCATTACATGGAAAAAAAATTGCAATTTTCAAAATTTCTCAGCAAAGATAGTAGTATTTCGGCATTTTAAATTGTTGCGGATGCCAATTTTTGAACTCCCCTCATATAATGAAAACTGAAGTTCATTCGGCAAAAAGGTGTAATTTTCAATCCTTCTAAAAGTAAGTTCGTTCGTAATAATAATTTAACATAAAAAGGTCAACTATACCAAAAATTTTGACCATTTCGGTCTATTTTTTGGATACTAACCTAATAAGGATTGTGACGAAAATTGATCCTTTGTAAGGCAGAAAAGTCTAGATCTTAATGTGTGATGATGGAAATTGAATTGTGTTAGACAATGTGATTTCGGGCATTTATTGATCGACCTTACCCGACTATAATGTTCTTAGTTATTTTAGTATGTGAACATAATGCAACAATACAATAGATATATGTATACTTTTTAAATTTATTTCCGTACCAGTCGGTACTAATACTAGTTTATAAATCTCGAATTCAAGTGAGCTCCGTGCTATTTCGATATATTCTGAAACAATATACCCCTGACCATCGTGATGATATTCTACTTCTAATTAGTTCTAGCTCCGTAGGTATTAAGGTCAAGAAGACTTTCATGATTTCACTTTAAAAGTAAAGTAAAAGTATACGCCAAACTGACCAACCCGCCAATAATTTCATCACGCAAAATCTTTCTAATGCTTTTTATTCCTAAATTCTCAAAAATTTATTAATTTCGTTATCCAATTCTAAATAATCATTGTTTAAATAACATATATGTGAGTATAAATGTACACTTAAATATTGTATGATTTAACATAATTTAGTACAGGTATATATATACCATGTATTATATATATATATATATATATATATATATATATATAAAGCCCTATATATTATGTATATATACATATGTTTGGTTATATTTGTCATTTAAGCGAAACGAATAAGTAAACACGCACAGGCGCCGTTTAACCGATACAAAGGATATTCCTTTCGGCGAGGAATTTTGGAAAGGCTGAATGTACGGTTGGTAGGAATTACATAAGTTGTTTGCGTGAGTCGAATTTTTTAAAGCATAATTTGTTTCCTTTTATCTTATAGGAATGGCAGATACCTGACACTGACAACAGCGTCAACGACAATGACTATAACCAATATGTTGTCTCATTTTGAATATGATTTAACTTATTACACAATTACAGTAACCAGTACACGTTGGTAGCGCATAAAAAAGAAGATTGCAATCCTTTCTTCAATTTCTTTCTTTTTTTTTTTTTTTTTTTTTGTCTTTTTTCAAATCTTTATAATTTGCTTATATGTAGTTCAGTTCTTTGCCGACTTGTCGACTTGTATGTTCTATCTACGTAAAGAGTAATAACAAGAGAAATTGAAACGGAAAATCCGTCATTATTATTTAGTTGAAATATTTCATATTTTCCTAAATAGTTTTCAATAGAAGAGGACATTTTTTGGGTTTTTTTTTTTTTGAATTTTTTTCATTTTTGGGTTTTTTTTTTTGCCTTTGATTCAAATAAATTTCAAATATTTTTAATTAAATCGTTTTTTTTTCTTTTCAATTGATATTTTTCAAATCTGCTATACGTCAATTTGCGCTAAATTATGGTAAAAATAACGAAATCGAATGAGAAAGATAGTGAATCCGCAGGAACGCGGAACGTTGGCAAGAAAAAATTACTTAAAACCCCCAACCTGCCGGAGAAAAAGAAGCATATTAACAAACCATCGACCAGTAAAGCGAGTGCAACGAAGTCGCGTTTGCAACATGTGCCAAACAATTATGAACGTTCATCGGTGAGCAAGAGTAGCAGCCAATCGCAATTATTAAACACGAAAATGTGTAAAAAATCGGCGAAACATAATCCGAAGCGAACAACTGGCGGCAGCGAAAGACATTATATTATACCGCGACCGGATGTGTTGCATACATATTTATCGCATTGCGATATTATCCAATATTTGGACTTTGTGAAATCACGTTTTAGTGATTCCGTCAAAATCCATACAATCGGTTATTCATATGAGAAACGTGCAATCAAAGCCATCGAAATTGATTGGATAAATGATAGAAGAGACGAGAAGGATGTAGAGTCAATTTCTTCCTCGGGATTATCACTAGCGGGCCAGACATCAAGCGATAGACGTAATACAATATTTATTGAGGGCGGTACGCATGCCCGTGAATGGATCTCAATATCGGTGGCTTTAAATTGCATCTATCAATTGACCGAAAAGAATCGAAGACACCAGGATTTATTGGGAAAGCTACGCTTTTTTATAGTACCATTAGTTAACCCTGATGGATATGAATACACAAGAACAACGGTATGCTGAAAGATAATTTTTTTAATGGTCACTGTCGAAAGACGGAGCAATATTTTAGTTCATTCACTCGATAGCACCCACTGACTTCATGTAAAGTCTCTAGGAACATTTTTATGACTTCTTATGATTATGATCTTAATTTACCGCATTCTAGCAATTAAAAGTTCAAGTTGATTATCTTTCTGAGTGAGATAGATAGATGCCTAGTTCAAAGAAAACTTGAGAAATTACAAAACTTATAAGAATACATTTGTTAGACAATTTTTTATACAAACCTTTTTTTATATACGCAACAAAAAAAAATTGTTTTCACTTTTGTTTACATTCTCACGAAACGCATTGATTATCTTACTAAAGAATCCTCGTTGGCGCAAGAATCGTCGTCCCCATAGCGAAGAGAAACATGTGGGAACTGATTGTAATCGGAATTTCGATTTCCATTGGGACTTGAACTCAAGCAAAGTTAAACGTAACACCTATCAAGGAGAAAAACCATTTTCGGAGCCGGAGACAAGAGCCTTGGCGAAAATTTTACATCGTCTTTCACCACAATTGCTATTCTTTTTATCATTGCACTCTTATGCCACCACTATAATGTATCCTTGGGGCTATACAAGGTAAGTTAAAAGCTTCATTTATGTACACAGAGAAGCAAATTCTATGCATATTTGACAGGGTAGAGCCTAAAAATGCTAAAATGCTTGAAAACTTGGCAATTACTGGCAGTAGTGCTATTAGATCATCTAAAGGCCGTTATTATCGAGTGGGTACAATCGCCAACATCACTAAACGGACTATAGCCGGATCGGTTGTTGACTATGCGTACGGCGTCATCAAAGTTCCATTGGCATTGGTCATGGAATTGCCATCGAGTGAATATGGCTTTCAGCCACCATCTCAAGTCATCAGTCAGTTAGGGCATGAAAGTTGGATTGGCATTAAGGAAATGTGCAAACATGCTTTCTCTCTCAAGGCCCAATTGGAGGATTTAAGAAAAAACAAAAAGAAAGAATTGCCAGACGTAGCAGAAGAAACTGTTAGCGAAATCCGGATACACAAGCCCAAGATCGATTGGCTCAGAGATGGAGAATATAATGTAAAAAATTTCGATCTTTACGAAGATGTTCAAAGTATTTCGAAAATTTGTCTATCAACCGCCGTAGATTAAAATTAATTGCATTTATTGGTTTTCGGTAATAATGATCCACTTCATATTTAATCAATATATACGGAAATAAAATATTTGCAAATACTTTTTAAATCAATGATGTTTACTTTTTAGTCGTAAATTCATACATATTTGCTTACAAAGACAGAAATAATGAATGCCTACCTTATGTGTTCTCTATTTAAAAGAATCATTAAAGATAAAAGTAATGAACGCACAATAATATTAACAATTTCTTGACTGAATCTGTAGTAAAAAAATAAAAAAGAAAAAATATTTTATTTTCTATTGAAAAAAAAACTAAAGAATTTGCAATTGAAATTGCACATCCAAGCCTTTGTGAATGCAATATTAATACAACTGATAATTAAATCAAATTTCTACTCAACGTGAAAGCAATGCAAATTAAGAATGACATGTGTAATCTTTAGAGTTTAGGGTAGTTTTCATGATGAGATTATTCTTGCTACGTAAAGCTTACAATATTACGAAAAGCAGATGTTGTGCAAAAAGTCTTGTAAATTAATCATAAAAAAAGAGAAAAAAAACTACAATAAAACCATATTTACGATGTGACAATATCGTTTATTTGGGGCAGACGAGGTGCAGCATATTTTAAACGTAATTTTTCATATGCCTTACGATCCTGAAACGAAAAAATTTGTTTATACATATTTTAAAAAAAATATTCGAAATTAAAATTAAAAATTTGATAATTTGTACACACCTGAGCACTGACAGAGGGTCGTAGCATTTCAATAGCCTTTTGAAAATGTGATTTTCGTACGCATAAATCCTCGGTCTTCGAATCGCTGTTGTTTAAAGCCTCCTTCAAAGCCAACATAGATGCCTGCCGCACTAGCCCAGATAAATCAGCACCAGTATAACCATCGGTAGAGGCCGCCAATTCCTCAAAATCAACGTCGTCTGCCACCAACGGCCGCGAGCCATTCTAAAATATATCAAAATATATATATATATATATATGCGAAATTTTTACAATATCAAATGTACCTTAGTGGTCGCTTTTAATATATCTACGCGATCTGAATGTTCGGGCAAGCCCACATAAAGTATTGTATCTAAACGGCCGGGTCTTAATATAGCAGGATCTATAATGTCGGGGCGATTAGTAGCGGCTAATATATAAACACCCTCTCGTTCTTCCATGCCATCCATTTCAGTTAATAATTGATTGACGACTCGCGTACCAGAACCAGTCTCGTTATTATCGGAACGTTTAGGACACAGCGAATCAAATTCGTCAAAAAATATAACACAAGGCGCTGAATTACGAGCACGTTGGAAGCAAGCCCTTACGGCGCGCTCGCTTTCACCCACATACTGGTAAGAAATGAAAAAGTATTCATATTTATCTGAAATCGAATGCTAAAATTCTCAATACTAAACTATTAGCTTGTTTGCGTTCTTTTATTTATGGCTTGCTTGAAAATGTTCTGCCCAAGGATGAAACAAATTATTTTTTCTTCAATTTATTTTTACTCATCGGCATTGTTTCGTTCAAGAATGTAATGCGATTTATCAAGATCCGCACAAATTATCCTTCAATTTCCTTAAGGACATCATTATTTGAACAAAATCTTTTTCTCAGGAACATAAATTTCAGATCTGTAAACAGGTAATATTGACTGGGGACCTGGTCTTCAAATGGGTTATGCAGCAATTTGAACTTCAATTTATACAAATTTACCAAGATAGCCATCGACTTGTGACAGGGTTCATTCACTCCACCAATGTGGCTAAACTCGGGTCAGCTTTCTCAGGCGTACATATTGATTCAATAGGTGGCAAACTCGTGCTTTTGACATATACATAGCCTGTTTTATCTCCCTAAATTGTGAAATTTTTTGACCTTCCCGAACTATCATCGTCACCCAAACTGTCTGTTAGTCTACGTCTCAATTCGATTATGCAAAATTTCACCGCAATAAATAATGATGTATAATGACAGCCCAATACTTAGTATTTTCCACATTCACATCGACGCCTGCAAACGATTTCCAAATAACTAACCGAACAAATTAAAGGCAATTTTTGTAAGTACTGAATCCGTAAGTCCGTATGAAACTATTGTGGACGAACGCTGTCATCTTCATAGTCACCTTGGAAACTTTTCACACACCTGAACCTACCATATGATATTGTGTATATCGATCTATTAAACCGTTTTCGCAACAAATATAGTTGGAAGGTATTATGATGGACACATGATTGTCTTGTTCAGTAAACCTGGTCTCTAACTTTCTCTTTTCACTCTAGTCAAAATTTAGCCAAAGCGATTACTCCATAGTTGCGTGAAGTCTGAAAATTAAACATCTGTCGACTTACCACCTGTCCCACAGTACGTCACAAATTCAAACCTGTTCAAGGCCCGGAAAATGGAAATTTGCGCTGGGTCAATAGCAGTTAGTGAAAAAAAATTTTGTATACAAATGATTTCATTTCGTAGTGTCACAAACGTTGCTTAAAAGCCAATTTTATATCAGTGCAGAAGCTTACCCACTAAATTATTTTTGCAACAACCTCTGCATTACGCCATTATATGTGTTCTTCGGACTTTTCAATTTCCTGTAGAGCTTAGAATAGTTGATAGATGTTAAATGTACCTGTCTTCATATGTTATAATTAATAAGCTAAGTTATCCTGCAACAACATACGTATGTATAGTCGTATGATATCTAGCGTTTTGTTACGTCACATTATTTCAATCCCCACCGCCGTAGGATGAGAGATACATTCATTTTGTCAAAACGTGTGCGACGACTAGAAGAAAGCATCAATGACGCCCACAAAATATATGTATTCTACTTGACCAGAAGATATCCGCTAGAAATTTGCAAAATAGTTTGGAATTGACCCAAACTTTTCAAACGACACGCCTGCAACGCCCACATACCTATCCGACAAAAATTTTTAATTTGAAAATAGAAGAAATCAATTGCGCCTACTCCATATTAGAAAGCATGAAAATCTATTTTTTTCCTCTTTTTGGGGTAAACGTTGATGGCTATAAAAGATTCGGTCCCGACCGAATTTAATTTTCTTACTTGTTTAGAAAGCTTACGCTTTTTTAATACTTTACGTTTGTTTAAACACATAACAAAAAACAAAAACAATCTATCACAGTTGATTACTCCTTTCTCGCCCTAATAGATACATTTTAAAGCTAAATATTTGCTAGCGCTACTATCACAGAAAGTCGAATGGCGTATAAACTCAACATTAAATGCACCGGCAATAACAAAGACGAACTATTTTCTTATTCTACAATCCGACTAACTTACAAATCCGTTTACCAAAACATACTCGACCTTAACCACGCGGCAGTGAAAAGAAAGAACATGCAGCCATATTCGTTTTTGTAAATACAAGGTTTGTGCAGTAAACGTGATATTAAAGAGCAGACATATATATATATCAGTTTCACTCATTAGTCATGAAGATTAAAGGTTTGTATATGGTTTGAACCATTAGACTTTGGACAAATTTCTAAACATTATAAGCGAATTCCAACAGATATAATGTAACGTGGAGAGAAGAATTAGCCGTATGCGAAAAACTACTTCCTTTTACAACTTACCATATTCATTAGTTCTGGCCCTTTAACTGATATGAAATTAATGCCTGCTTCATTGGCTATAGCCTTGGCAAGCAAAGTTTTACCGCAACCTGGTGGACCGCATAAGAGTACACCAGACGGGGCTGTTAAGCCCAAACAGGCCAGCTTCTCAGGGTATTTTACCGGTGCTAAAACGGCAAGTTTCAATTCTTCTCGTATTTCTTGCAGTGAACCTATATCATCCCAGCTTACATCTGGTACTGTAATAAAACCTTCACGTTTGGCAAGAGGCTGCACAACTTTAACAGCCTCACGAAAATCTTCTAACGTTATGCAAAACTCCGATACAAAAGTAATATCCTCGGGAGGATTATCCAACCAAATCAACAATTCGAACAGCGACGGTTCCTGTAATTTCATTTTAGCTATTATCTCTTTCGAAACTCCATTTGAACTCTTTCTTTCATTCTTTTCTTCGGAACAATCACTAATGTTTTCAGAACTTTCGTTTGGTTTCTCTTTGTCTGTTGTATCTGCCGGCGTTTCAGCCTGTGAACTTTTATTAATCTCCTCCTGTTCGCCCTCAGAACATTTTTCTCCTTCCGATAATTGCTTCTTTGTTTCCGTTTCACCGTTGTCAACTTCCATTTGCTCTACGTTAGTCTCAGTTTTATTATTGTACTTATTGGTGTTAATTTCGTCACCAGTGGTCACAGTTTTCTTTTCGCTATTTTTTTCTTCTTCATTATCATCATCTAAATCAACGATAGTTATATTGCTTTGATTCTTTAATTGAAACGCGCGCATCTGTTCAGAGCATCTAAAAAGGACAATTTATTTATATTCCAAATCAAAGTATTTTAGTTCCGCGACTTACTTCCTTTTAACTGCTATTGTGGCTGCACGTGACACTAATGCCAATAAGTCGGCACCCACATAGCCTGGTGTCAGCTCTGCAATTTTATCAAAATCGCACTTAGGCTCCACCGATAAACCATCGCATATAATCGTTAGAATATCTTTGCGATCCTTTCGAGTGGGTATGCCGATAGCGATTTCGTGATCAAAACGTCCAACACGCCGTAAAGCTGGATCAAGTATGTCGGGACGTGTGGTGGCACCTATGACTAAAACAGATTGACCACCTTCACTTAGCTTCAAAGCGTCCAAACTGCTAATAAGTTGTGAAACTATACGTCGCTCCATATCCTTTGTTGCCAAAGCACGATTCGACGATATGGCATCAATTTCATCGATAAATAAAACACAAGGCGCGCAACTAATGGCCTGTTCAAATACGTCACGTATACGTTCTTCAGATTCTCCAGATATACCGGCTACTAATTCGGTGGCGGGTATTTCAATGAGAGCCAAATTCAGTTGCTAGTAATAAATAAATTATTAACATTTTCATTCAATTTTTAAGACAATTTTCTCTTACGCCTGCTATAGCATGAGCTAATAGAGTCTTTCCACATCCTGAAGGTCCATGTAGTAATATGCCTCTTGGCGGCATAAGACCCAACACAAAGTATATATCAGGTGATTTAATGTGCATCAGTAATTCGCACAATTCTTTTAGAGTCTTTTCCATGCCACCAATATCTTGGAATGTTTCCCGCGATTTACGCAGCTGAACTTCTTTCTTGAATTTACGCGAGCGTTGAGAGCTTAATGGATTAATGTAACGGTCACCACTGGATCCGTTATTTTGTTCTTTTTGTGGGGTATTTCCAGCATATTGTCGCACTTGTTGTTGACGTTGTTGCAATTGTTGTAGTAAATGTGACGCTAAATTGTCATTCTTATCTAATTATTCGACAAAACAATAAATTTAAGTTACAAACGCAAAGTTCTCTTTCCCTAACATTTACCTTGAACCAACTTACGTTTCTTTACTGGTTGCCCACCTATTCCGCCTAAAGACATTTCATGGCGTTTACGCGTACCCATTGTAGGTGACTGCGTTGTAATAGAAGACAATGAATTTGGAGTATCTGTAGTAGCAGCGGTTGAAGAACTACCTTTAGCTGCTGATTGATCAGTATTCGATGTTATTTTGGAGATGGTGATAGTATTATTTTTAGTAAGAACCGTGGTGGCAGCTACAATTAATACGCAATTCACATTTTTATTTAATTCAAAATAAAAAGTGGTTACATACGATTTAATGCTTTTCCATTGGAGTTTGTTTGATGTTCATCGCAACTTTCATCGCTGCTTATGTCGATTGCCTCACCAGTTGTTGGTTTCGTACCTGTCGTATTATTTTTTGTTTTATGGTACAAACTGTTCATCATATTATTCATTATATTATTTATTGGATTCGCATCCTGGAAATGTTAAGAAAATTGTTTATATAAAACTACTAAAAATTTCATAAAAACAAGCACTATTATTTATAGTTTCTTCAAAAACTATTTTATAGGAAATTCTATAACACAAAAAAGAATTAATTTGGACAACAGAACAATATTATCTTACATCCATTACTTCTAAGCTAGAAGCATCCGATTCATCGCCACTTGATTGTTGGTCCAAACCGTAGCTTTGAGACACCACGTGATAAGCTATAAAATATAAGTGAACTTTACAAAACCACAAAAATAAACTTTTGTAAGGATTCAAGCCGACCTTGCTCTACTAGAGCCCGAAATGGGGCAACTTTACGCCGTGAATATTCAACATAACGTTCCTGCAAATGCTTGGTCATCACTCCCACATCTAGATATGTTTTATCAACATTTTCTTCTAAATACTAAAAATTGCAAAAAGAAAAAAGGAATTTTTAATTTCAGCTTAGCTGTGCGCGAACATAGTATATATTCATATAATATGCCACACATGTACATCTGTAAAACAAAAAAACAAACGAAGAAAAACATAACCTAATTTTAATTTAATGTACGTTGATGGGCCTACCGCCGGCGTACACAAACATGCAATTGGCGGTGCGAAATCCACTTGTTAGTTTGTTTTTGGAACGATTGGCACTCCTTGTCCATATTCTTTTCCAGGAATTATTATTCAATTTTATTCATACCTGCTTAACTCTGCTTATGATTACCGGATCATAAAGAGCTGGTTTAGATTTTTTCATTTCTAACGACGTCTATATCATGTATTCGGTGGATATTATAGAATTTTCTTTTACGTTTCACAACTTCACCAAATCTTCTCAAAAAAACTCTTCAATTATAGAAATATACGCGTTTTTTTTTTCTGTTTGATGCAAAAACCACTGTTGTAATTTTTAGTATATACGCTCGTACAATCCATCATAATCATACAGCTGAGTTGACATACATGCCACATATTCGACCAGCAATTTACGGTCTATGGTAAAGTACGCCACTGTGGGCATACGGTATTTTTATGGAGTAGTAATGATTGCATCCTAAAAGGAAAAGGAAAAAATCGGCAAATTGTAAGCTAACTAATTAACATCAAACAATTTTGAGAGAAAACGGAGATATTTAATAAGAAATTATGGGAGGCAATCGTTGCAGATTTCGTGACTGTAATGTATCAACATTAAACTGTCCTGGTATTCACTTTTTTCGTTTTCCCATTAAAGAACCCGAACGTTTTCAAAAGTGGCTGACATTTTCTGGAAATCAAGGAATATTTAGACTACCACCAGAAAGTAACATAAATCGTGTAGTGTGTGGCCGGCATTTTCGTGATGAATGTTTTATGAATTATAAAAAAGATCGAATAACGAAAACAGCACTGCCAACCATATGGCGGTTGAGTAAAAGTGTCGCTATTGATTATGAACAGGATATTGAAAACGGGGTTTTTATTGACTTGGATCCGCCTAGTGCTTTGCACTTAATTCCGCCAGCAGACTTCAAGTGCCCTCTTAACTTGAGCGACACCTGTAACTTGTTAAATAAAAGGAAATTGATTAAAATGAAAGAGGGATCCAATAATTACAAGCACTCATTACCGCCAAAGAAGACTGGAGACTCTGGGCCAATAAATAAAAAATTTAAAAAAGCAGATATTAAAGCCGACTCAGGTTTACATGTACTAGAGGAAATCGTTTTATGCGAAGCAACTGAAATTAAGGATGCTAGTGAAACAATTTACAGTTTACATGAAAATGAAGGGCTATCAGCAGATGAAGAAACTGTTAACTATGAATATGAAGTGCATGACTATGATAATGATATACAGTTTATTGTCCCTACAAACAAGCAAACGGAGGAGCAACCAACAATACAAACGCACCCCGCCAGCGAACTAGAGGCAGAACTTTTAAAATGTAAAAGGGAAAATGAGAATTTAAAAAAACAATTGCTTGAATTAAAAATTGAAAAAGATAAACAAGATCAAAAATTGAAAACTACACAAGATGCATTAAAAGACAAAGAGCAACTGGCAGTGCAACGTGATCAATATGCTAAAAAATGTAAAATATTGAAACAAGAACTTGAATCAATTCAGGATTTCTCCCGAGAGAGTCAAAATCAATGGTCTGACATGGGCAGTGAATTAAGTGAAACTAAAAATTTATTAGGTGAAGCACAAAGCAAAAATGTGAAACTTCATCAAACAATTGAGGAGAACGACGTATTAATGCAATCGTTACAGAATAAATGTGACAATTTGGAAAAACAGAGAACAGAAATTCAAACACGACACGATGATTTATTAAAGGAACATGAACGATTAATACAACAATATGATAAAATACATCAAGTTACTGGTGTTACTACATTGAATGCGTCGCAGTCGTTTATTAGCAACTCCGCGTCATTAACAAAACCCCAAATATTCAATGCTATTAAACGTTATCTTAGTTCAACAATGGTGTCGTTAGTGCGTATGGAGATGTTTGGCAGTTCTGAACGAGAATGGAAGCCAGATGAACGTGCTGTAGCTGTTGATATCCTCCAATTGGGTGAATCTATTTACACTTATTTTACGGAAGAATGGCGCTTTCGTCTACCTGCTCTACGCGAGGTACGCAGTTGGCTTAAAGGGAAGACATTTTGCAATGAACTTGAAGAAGAACTTTAACCATAAGAGGAATTTGGACCGAATAAATTCCTTATGCTTTTCTTAATTCAGTATTCGGTGAGTTTACCTGTCCTTGTTTGTTAAATGCAAATCTCCAATTTTCACTAATCGTTTGACGAAGGCATCCGCGTCGAGGAAACAATATGAATATGAACGCGTCCTCATCTCTTAATTAATGCGTAGATAACATCGTTACAAGAATTAGAGAATAAACCCAGTCGTGATACATACCGACCGCGTGTCGACGAGTGATTTAAATTCAACAAACTTTTGATATTATAATATTATTGATTTTCGAACATAGAATCTAATTGCTAAATCGATATATTAAATTAAGTAATTCCAAGACAATTTTTTTTTATTTATTTATTATGTAAATATATATTTTATTAAAATATTAACTTAAAAAAATTCATGTCGTGAGTAAGTTCAAATATATTAATAATGTTAGCTATATTTTTGTTTTGTCTGTTTACACGATAGGTTTTTTATTGATAAATTTAATAAAAACAATTGCTTCACATTTTATCGTCCATTTTCCAGATATTGATTACACGAAAGACATTTCACAAAATTTTCATCCTCGAGAATCCATTCCTTCTCAAAAAAAAAATTAATTGTCAATTTAAAAGATTTCATTCAATAATTTGAGGTAATTTTTTCATTTCTTCCAAAGAAAATCATATAAATTTTAGTTAAAAATAACGCAGATCTAACTTTTTTGAGAAATCTGCTTTGAGCGCTGCCTTAAATATATTTAAAAAAAAAATGGTTTAAAATGAACTGAGCATGAAGCCCTAGTTAAGTGGATGAAACTGCTTTGAGTTTCTTCTTCTTCTTTTTGTTTACTTCTTTATTTTACTTTGGTAGTTTTTTAACAGATTCGCGCTGTTTAACGGAAAATTACCAATCTATTAACGGAAAATGAGCTGCTTAACAAAAGATGTGTTAACAGAAAATGCGCTATTTAACAGCAAAGGATCGATTTAACAAAAAATGGTCAATGAACATATGATTTCAAAGTACTATGGAATAAGAGAATAACTATCAGGAAAGCAAAGAGCAAGCAGGATAGTCGAGCATGTTGGCCATCAAATACATCGCTTCGGCTCGTACAATTTTTCACTTATTTTCGAAATAAGTGTTAGAGGATACTATTCGTGGGATAGAATTCAAAAATTAAATCTACTTGATCTAATTCTTTAACGATTAATTTCTATACCAAATTCCTACTATGGATTAAATTTCATCAGAAAGTGTGATTTTTTTTACCATATTAAGGGGTTACTTTTCATACGAACCCTTATACGGTGGGATATTGCCGTAAATAGAAACATTTCAATGAATGACGCGTAAGCTGTTCACTGGGGTTGTTACACCAATAGCTTTTAATGCCTACCGCCATATTTTAATTTCATTGTAAATTCTTAGCTTGGCATAGAGTGGTGGTTTTTATTTATTTGCATGATTAAATTTTTGTTTTTTAATTGTTTAACTAGTGGTGGTTTCCATGCCAACATGAATTTTGGTAATTACTGATTCGTTATTCTTATTTATTGTCTAGAAACTATTGAATTATATACAAAATAATGATTGGAATGAAGCGCATTTCGAATAGGATCGTCAAAATCGGCGTAGAACTCAGTAGTGAGAGGATTTTTCTCCCAATGGTTCGAGGCATAAACAATAGGGCTACTTGGCTACTATTGGTACAGTTAGTTTGGATGTTAAGTTAGCATTACAGATCAAGGATCAGTTTTCATTATTGAATATTGCAAATTAGATATTTTTGCTACATAAAACTTTTACTTTTAGTAGAAACGGTCATATTGGAAATGATTCAAAAAACCGACCTATCCAATCCAAATCTTTTAGTATAGCAAAATACTAAAACACAGCGATTTTTATCAAGAAATTTTTGAAAATTGCATATTCTTTCAAAATAAGACTTTAAGGTCATAAAAATTGTCCGAGCGAGTTCACTTTTAATAAGTTCCTTCCTTAGGCTAAAGTGCATAATCAGAATTTTCCAAACATTACGTCCTGTGGATTGAATACAAAATTACATGGGCAGATTCACACGATTTGAAGTTGGGGATAATCTTATTCGACCACACCAAGAAGTGCGTTTGGAGTTCTTCCCAGCAAGATGAACAGTGCACCACAATTCGAATGGTCTCATATAAAAGGACAATGTCAAATTACAAGATTGTAAGGTTAACATGGTTAAAACAGCGTAAACATTTCTGTTTAAAAGACACATCATCATTTGTTTACTTTTTTGTTAAAAAGTTTTGATTCTATCAACAGCTATCTAAGCATACAGCTGCATATAACAGCACAAGCAAATTTGCAATAAATTTTATTCGAGTTCTATTTATATAAATTGAGTTTATATTAAAAGTATTAAAAAATACGACGTTGATACGGTGTTGCCACTAGTGCATAGCATTATTATTATTAGTTACCTGACTTAAATCTATACTACAATGGGGAGTCATTGGAAACAAATTGTATATAAAATTATATAAAATTAATTTATAAAACCATTTTTTTTTATATAAAATTATCTTTTATCTAAGGACACAAAATTGCTATTAGCTGTAGTGAAATATTAATAGTTAAATTAAAGTGCTAGCTTAACTCCCACATACAACAGGAATGTTAAATTATGTGAGCAAGAGGAAGAATTGTAAAAATTGTGTGAGCCTCTTATTGCCATTTTTGTTTTTGTTTGACCAGCCGTTCAGGAAGTGTCCCCTAAACATGCGACCATTGCCGTGGTTACAGAGCATTATAGGTACGGAAGAAGGTATTAGTATTTGTATATACTCGATACCGATGAAAACCAAAATAGGTGGAACGATGGAAAAGACCACTACTAGTAGGCTATGCCAAACGTAGGCAATGCCTTTAGAAAGCGACAAGTTATGGTAATATGTCGTGTGCAGTTCTTTTAGAGCAATGGATTGGTGGACAAATCTTATTTACCTCTGTGGAATGCTTGATCCAAGTATACCTATACATAAGCCGATGCGATGATAAAAATAGGAACCAAGAGTCAGCTTAATGAAAACGTAATAGCCAACCTTCATTTACGTAATTACCATTTTCGCCGTTTACCGCTTGCACAATAGAGTTCGCTCACGAGACGAAACACAATTACGACATAAACGTGTTGTGAGTTGATGTCTTTTCGTTTGCTTTTGAATTGTAATAAATTTTAATTGATTGCATATCCAACGAACTAGTTTTGATATCATCGGCGTCTGAATATAAATACGCACCTAAATGCAAAGAAGAAGAAGAAGCAAAGTGCGAACCACAAAAACAACAAACTGTTTTCCAATGATAAAAATATAAACTGTGACAACTGAAAGATGATTGAAATTGAGTTCATACCACCTGAACGTTTCATGTTCAAAGTTGCATTTAAGATACCAGAGGCGTATGAATGACTATATATATGCAAATAAATACAAAGAAAAAGAGAGTAAACAGTCGCAAAATAAATCATTTTTTATTATTAAATATAAACTGAAGGCAGTTAAATGTTTAACTTAAATCTCAGATCCTGACAGCCTTAGATCAGGGAACATTGAGTACCTGAGAGCAAAAATGAGCGCTTTCAGCATGAGTTTGATTGGGAATGATTTTGCGACTGAGTTGTACAAGAGTTCAGTATGAAAAATTTCAGACAGGTTACCCATGAAATCGCAGAGAGAATAAAAATGCCGACGTTAGATATGATTCATTAGTGGCGGCTTGAAATATAAGAAGTGGTTTATGAGGAAGTATGAAATTTCAGGAGCCAAAAGCAGAATCGTTTTCCTAAACCCCATTTAAGGCTTTTCCAAACTTCAACATTAGCAAGATGTATATACGAAACGTACATCGGCCAACAAAATCCAATTAAAAATGATTATACCTTCTGTAATAGGGAAGGATACCATAATCTAAACATTGCGTTTGCAATTATTAAAATCAATAAAATATGAACGTCGCAAATATATAAATATATCCTTTTCCTTTTGTAGATTTATGAGGTCACAAGCCGAAGGATACTACCATTGGTAGGGTAAGGTACTGAATGACTCAGGGCATATGAACTGCCCGTTTGGTAAGTATGTTGCATTCGTCCAGTTATTCTTATAAGGATAAAGAACGTGTATTTCTTTTACCTGTAACCGCCTGTGGACCGTCCATGGAACAAAAATGTTGCTGATTTTTCTCGTTCCAAACACAAGCTAACTACTAGGAGAGGGAATGCAAAAAAAAATTCGGGATAAGCCGAACACAGTTTCGTTTCTGTTTTGTTTTATTATTATTATTGTTATTATTATTTTTTTATTTTATTTTAACAAAAAAGCACATTTATATAGATAAACTCACACATTTATGTTGATTACTTTTTGTTGTTGTCCTTGTCATAAATTCTTATGTAATAATAATAAATTAAAATTAAAAAGGAGATAATAATAACGGTAAAATATAAATTATTTGAAAAAAAATAAAATAAAATGAAATCTAAGCTGAGCTTCTTTAATATACACAAGAAAAGTAAATGTACATACGTATTGTAATAGAACCATCATCATCAATCATTTTCGAAAATCAACAAATTTCAACGATATATACCTATTACAACACAAATGCATGCATGTATTTATGCTTACATATGAAAAAATCTTGTTTTTTTTATTTTTATTTATTTATTTATTTTTTTTAATAATAACAAAACATAGAATAGGATATGAAATTTTAATAGTAAATGAAATTAATCCGAAATTAATTTATGTTATACAATTTATTAAGTAAAAAAAAAACCATAAAGAATTCGAATGAAATTTTTCGCAATACATTTTTGTACCCACTACAGGAAGAGTGGAAATACTAGTACATCCGAATCTTTTTTACACGGTCTTTTTTTAACCGATTTTGAAATAACACGATGCGGTAAGAAAAAAAAAAATACACCTCCTTTCTACACGAATTTTTTATTTTATTCTAGCGTGAATTCCCCCAGTGTCTTATAGAGGCTTAGCAAACAGAACATACAGCAGAAAAGCACAAATGGGGTATTAACGTGATCCGAGTTCAGTTGGTTTATGCCCAGCTGTTATACAACAAAAAAACGAACAGAGACCGTTAATAATGAACGAATTAAACCCGACAAATTGTGCTATGTGTAGATTTCTGAAATATCTACTAAGCATGTTTAGTCTAATCCGTAATAAACGTACACACATGCTTATATGTAAGTAGCAGTGAATACTTGTGAAATTGATTTTTATTCCTATGTTATTCTTATGGATTGAGTTTTCACTGTACACCAATTATAATTTTTTTTTTTAATTGTTTATGAATTT